TTTAATTTAAGTATGGCAGTGATTTTCCCAGTTTGTGTATGGTTAGCAATACCTATTTCCTCGTCACTAGCAACATGAGGCAATACAGCAGGAAATCCGAGGGATGTTTGACAAGGCTTGTTCACTTGTAGGCCACACAGATCTGAATTGCCAATAAACCTAAATGGCATAACGAATCAAACGAGTAAATCAAAAACAATGATGAACTGTCCAAACAAATGAAATTTATACTTAAAGTTATTTAACTTTGCTTTTACACTCTTAAATTACTTGCACCTCCCTCATTCAGTTAACATTCACAATAAATAAACTTACGATGTGAACCCGAATCTGGCTAGGGCTCCAATATTTGGAATCTCACCGGACAAGAAGTTTGAAGACAAATTTCTGAAAAAAAAATAAATAAAATAAAATAAATGCATAAAGAATCAATTCGAGAAGTGCTGCTAGTTATATGCCGAAGCATGCAAAAATCTGACTTATATTAAGCCCGACTTACAGATGAGTTAAATTCCTTAGGCGAACTAAAGACGATGGTATAGCACCTTTCAGTAAATTGCTCGACAAATCCCTGATCAAACAACTATATACATCAATCACTCAAACAATAAAGGTACTCAAGACAAAACAAACGAAAAAGGAAAGGTCCGGCATGTAATTAATATCCTACAATATACGCAAATGAGTAAGGTTTCCCATAGTTGAAGGTATGCCACCTTCGAAATTGTTGGCTCGAAGATACCTACACACACAATTCACATAAATGAGAACCAACTAACTAATAAATACCAAAACACATCCTAAAAAGAAAAACATAACACAAGCAACAAAAATCCCTCATTTCAACTCACAAGGCTCTTAGCTCAGAACATTGAGAAATTTCAGCCGGGATGATACCGTGAAGTTTATTCTGGTGAAGTCCCCTGGTTACGTAACATAGTTAACTTAATCAACAAAATCCATAAAGCATCAACCTTTACTTATAATTTAAGACTAATACACAAACAAATGGACTTACAGTCTTTGTAATTTATCGAGTTTAGCAATGGTGGGGGATAGAGTTCCGGCAAACTGCATGTATGGCAAATTTCTACAAGCAAACAGGGCAAGACATATGAAAAAACAATGTGGGCAAGAACAAACAACAACAATAGCATTAACTGAAAACAAAACCTTAAAAATCTCACATACATGGATATCACTTTCTGTTCTTGCTGGCTGCAAGTTATACCAGTCCATTTACAAGGAAACTCAACAGATTCAGTCCAGTCACCAAGAAAATTTTTGCTGTCATTCAAACTGGCTTTCAGTTCCAACAGTGTAACACCTGAGCACACCAAATATAAATAAAATAAATAAATAAACCATGAAATTTCAAGTTCTAAAGCTAC